GCTTTGGCTTTGGCTTTGGATTTGGATTTGGATTTGGATTTGGATTTGGATTTGTCAAATGATCGATCGATAAGATTATTTTTGGACAAAATTTATTTAATTATTTAATAATTAATTAAATGCCAAATCACTGCTGAAAATATGCCAGAACCTTGCTGAAGGTTCAGAGGGCCTCTCTGGCCGCGGTTCTGCCGCGACCGCGGTAGAACCGCGGCAGGCAGGTTCAGAAGCCTCTCTGACCGCGGTTCTGCCGCGACCGTGGTAGAACCGCGGCAGGCAGTGTATTCTTCTGAAAAGTCACCTTTTCCAGACACCTCTTCTGATAATTGCCTATAAATTCTGAGGCAAGGCACCATTTTCTACACACGAAAAACACTCCAGAACTTCTTTCTTTCTGAATATACTGCATTCTAATTCGCAGTCTCTCTCTCTCAAATTCGTAAGTGTGATTTTGCTCTGTTCTTTAAGTTCGTTGGTATCCTGCAGTTTGTATTGCCACTGTTGCAGGAAGGTTTATTCCGTTTTATCCTAGGAGGATTTAATCCATTACCTTGGCAACGTGTGAGGGGGTTAAAATTCCTTAAGGACACACAAGCAAATTGTGGACTCGGAATATTTCTTAAACTCTTCTGTTTTTCCAGTTTCTTTTATTTTTCTAACAGTTTTTTTCTGAATTTGTGTTTTAACACAGTAGCGCTTACACTGTCTTCTTCAACCGATATCTTCTTTTCAATCTTTCGTCCCCGCTTCCGTCGTCTTCGAAACTCACACAATACCAGTCACATGCTCGTAATCGGTGCGAGCTATTTGCTGACTCATATCCTACCTGTCTTTACTGCCACGTGTCAACGCGTCGAGCATCCACCTGTCATTCATTAATTTACCTCATACAAAAAATATACTATGAAAGAGTATAAAAGTATAACAACAACAACAACATAAAAAAAAAAAAAAAAAAACAGTGTAATCCCATAAATGGAGTATGAGAAGGGTTTTGTGTACGCATACCTTACCCCTACCTCATAGAGATAGAGAGGTTGTTTCCGTGAAAGAGTATAAAAGTAATTGTACTATAATTTGAAGGTGTATGAGTGCATATAAGTATGTGAAAATACTTAAAAATATCAATATTGAAAGGATGGAAAAGTTGAAGGAATTTATGGTGCAACCGAGTTTAGTCATGCTGCAGCTACTGATTTTTATGAAGGAAAAAAGGCCATTTGGTCAGAATACTTACCCAAGGCTGTCGCTGTTGTGCTAGGTTTTATCCCTGTAGGCATGAGTCGAAGTAGGAAACTTCAGTTTTCTAGGCATGGCTACAACCGTGATTCCTGGGGCTACAGTTATGTTCCTGTTTTATAAATAAAGAAGAAACAACGACATAGAAGCAGCAGCAACCCATAGCAAAGAAGAAGCATCAATAGAGAAGAAAACGTATATGAAATTACCAAATATTGGATATCGTTAATCTATACTCTATATACTATATTAAAAGCACGAAGGCCCTTGGCGAAATGTCGTTCGCCTTTTTTACCCTTTAGAAGTAGATTTCACATTGGTCAAATTTGTAATTTAATTATATTTCTAATATTTAAGACTTTTTAATCAATTAGTTATTAAAACCTTCCTTACTTGACAAAAAGACATAATGTTAAGGACTTTAAATTTAATATACTTGTCCTATAAGGCTATACTTAATTATATTACGACTAAAGTTTCACGGCATTCAAGAGTTATCTTATATTTAGGGTTAAATTGTCACAGATACGGCCATACCAATCTAAGATGGACAAGAACATGTTGGACCACTTTTTTCTTCTATAATGAAGGATCACGTTCAGTTTGAACTGCCTTAGTTATTGTTCAAATATCCGTTTTTCAAAAGGTAATTTAATTTTTTTCATAACATGAATCCTCTCTCAAAAATTACTCCAAGCATCTATTTCAATCAAGAACAAAATACGAGATCTAGCTAGCTTCTTGCTTTACTTGTATTATTTATCTATCTTGTATGATGTTATTGCATTTTTTAATAGTAGGCCTTTTCAATTGTTGCCAAGATATGATGTCTTTTTTGAGGTGATTTAATTTTTGTTATCGATTATATGAACTTTCTCTCAAAGACAATGTCGCCTCTCACTGGAGAACAAAATAAGCGTACGTCTATAGTGTTATTATTATTTTTTGACAAAAATTATAATCTATTTTGTTTTGTGTCTCACACCTTCATATAACATATCTATTGGGAATAACCAAATAAATAATACTCGATTCTTCTTCTTCTTAAATTAAAATTCACAAACTTCACAAAAATCAGAATTAGTTAACAAAAGATATTTGCCAAAAAAAAGAAGTAGAGGTGGAGAGAGTTTTAATATTCAATTTGAGTTCAAGAGAAGAAAAAAACCAGATTGAAGTGGTTTTCACTGCAAGCCATACTTGTTCGAATATCAAATTTTACATGTAATTTTACAAAGTCCCTTGGCAAAATATCGTTCGCTTTTTTTACCCTTTAAAATTTGAGTTTACATTGGACAAAATAGTCACTTTATTATTTTTTCTAATATTTAGAAATATTCATTTAATTAATCTCCTACTATTTAGGAATAGTCATTTAATTAATTTCTTACTATATAGGAATAGTCATTTAATTATACTCCTAATATTTATAAACTTTTATTTTTCATTCAACCCATTTATATTTAGGAGTACTAAATTTCTTCTTCTAGGTTTCGGAGGAGGTTTCTTTAGTTAATAAAATTCTGCCTAAAAGATTCAGTTTTTTGAGTTCTCCTTTTAGGTTTAGGAGGGGTTTTTCTTTAGCTAATAAAATTTTACCTAAAAGTTTAGGTCTTTCTTTAGTTAATAAAGTTTTGACACAACCAAAGGATGTGGTGCAGTGGATGAGACTGCTCCTCCCTTAACTAGAGGTCTCGAGTTCGAGCCCTGGGTATAGAAAAATCCTTAGTAGGGAGCGATTACCCCCGAAAGGGGCCCTACGCGGCGCGAATCCGGATATAGTCGAGCTCCAATGTGGGTACCGAACATTGTGTGGGTAACCAAAAAAAAAAAGTTTTGACATAGGAAAAGTAAGAAAAGTTTCGGTACTAACTTTTTAGGACTAATGTTTTATAAACTATATTAGGTGAAAATAAGCCTTTTGAACTAATTTATATAATAATGCATCAAAGGACTATCGTAGGACAATATTTATTTATTTACTGAGTTAACATATATATATATATATATACAAAAGATTTAGGCACTTGCACTTTTATCTTTAGTATTTCTTTTTAGTTTATAAAGAATATTTAATAATGTTAACGTTGTTTCTTAAAGTTTTGTATGCAATGATATGGGATACACGCGCAACGCGCGTACCCTAAGACTAGTTTTAGTAAAAAAATGGATAAATGACAGACCAAATAGGAGGCCTCGTGAAATTTTTATACTCCCTCTATTCCAGTTTACGTGAACCTATTTCCTTTTTGGTTCGTTCCAAAAAGAATGAACCCTTTCTAAATTTGGTAACAATTTAGCTTAAACTTACAATTTTACCCTTAATGAGAAAGCTTTACAACCACTCAAATACTCTGGGGCCCTTTTTGACTTGTTTAGAACCACAAATTCTAAGTCTTCATTTTTTCTCAAACTTCGTGCCCAATCAAACATGTTCACATAAATTGGAACGGAGGGAATACTATGTGCCCGTTTGGATTAGCTGATTTGAAGTAGCTGATAAGCATTAGGTGCTGAAAAACACTTTTTAAGTGCTGAAACTGATTTAATAAATAAGTAGTTACGTGTTTGGGTAGAAGTGCTGAAATTGATAATAAGTTGCTGCAGTATTTAATAAAAAAGTTCTGATAAGCTCTTTTTCTGTTAAAATGACTTAAATAACCTTAGAACTGTTTACACTTATAAGGGCGTAATTTCTTCAAAATTTTAGATTCTAGATCGATACAAATACAAAATATTCTATTTGGCATTTTATTTTAAATACACCAAAAATTTGATATGTCCTCATTTATTACATACAATTCAAATATTAATACACAATCACATAGATATAAGTATACAGGAAATAGAGAATTTGCTTATCTTAAATAGTCAATGAGAATTGCAGACTTGAATAGGTGGATGGTAGGGGCAGGTGGGGTAGGGGGTGGGGGGTTTAGGTTGAATACTTGAGACGGTGAGTATCGACGTAGGAGTTTTGTTCTAAGAAGAAATATTTTAAGGATAAAATAGTAAAAATTTTGGTCAAAGTTAAAGTGCTTATAAGCTAAAAATTCATAAGTTGGGGGTTACAAGCTTATGGCTTTTGACTTATTTTTAGCTTATAAGCACTTGGCTTATAAGTACTAAACACTTTTAACTTTACCAAACGCATAGATAGGAGTGGCAAACGGGCGGGTCAGGTCGGATATGGTTCGGGTCGAAAATGGGTAATGAAAAAATGGATCAATTATCCGACGCGACCCATATTTAATACAGATAAAAAACGGGTTAACCAGCGGATAATATGGGTTACCCATATTATCCATGACTTCTTGTATATGATCACTTTTGGGAGAATTCTTGGTCTCCCTAACTTGAGGAACCCCCAATTTGAAGCTTTACAAATGTAAAAGTTAGACTCATTGGTTATCCATTGGTTACTCATTGGTTATCCATTTTCTAAATGGATAATATGGTTCTTATCCATATTTGACCCGTTTTTAAAAAGTTCATTATCCAACCCATTTTTTAGTGGATAATATGGGTGGTTAACTGTTTTCTTTGAACCATTTTGCCACCCCTACGCATGAATAAGCCGAAAAGTACTTATAAGCTAATTTGACCAGCTTATAAGCTAAAACGCCTTCTGTGTAACTTTCCGAGAAAAAAAAAAAAAACTAGGAGAGCCCATCTTGAAAGCTCTTACTCTATGCAGGCCCAAAAGCGGCCCAACATAGAACTGTATTACAAAACCAATTGGCTATCCCTCCAATAGATTTTTCTTGCTTGCCAAAAATGGCGTGCAACTCAGGAACCTGCCAGTCCGGTTGTTACAGAGACTCCTCTAATGAAGCAGAAGAACATCCGCCTGTAAAAATTGCAAATGAAGCTCCAAACGACGTCGCTAACGGTAGAAAGAGCACCGAACAATTATCTATCGCCGTCTGTGTTAAATGCAAGGTTAACAAAACCATAGCCTCCGCTGCCTCCGCCGAGGGAGGTGGTGACTTTAGCGGAGGAGATAGCGGAAGGTTCTGTGCAGATTGCTTCCGCAGTAACCTCTATGGAAAGTTCAGATATTCTGTCACATCTAATGCTATGATTTCGCCGTCGGATAACGTCCTTGTCGCTTTCTCCGGCGGTACATGTTCCAGGTTCATCTTATGTCTTCATTTTCATATGTAAATTGTATTCTTAATTCCCAAAGATATTTGCTTTTCGAGATTATATCTAGGGTTTAGGGTTTAATAATTTTGATTAAATGTAGTTTCCTACTGATTTTTGGTTCCTGATTAATCAGTTTATTTGTTTGAAAATATGCTGATGATGTAGAGAAGACTCTTTATTTTCGGTCTTGGTTTGTTCATTGAAAGAAATAGTCAATCAACGGCCGTAATGCCAAACTAGTTGGGGTGATATGAATTGTCTATATGTGCCCTGCTTGCACCCCAAGGGTGTGCTTAGTGGTCAATGAAGTTGGTGGAGAATAATGACATCTCATGTTCAAATTCAAGCGGAGGCAAAAAATATTAGGTGATTTTTTCCATCTGCCTAAGCTTTGGTTAGCAGAGTTACCCGTACATGTAGGAATAGTCGAGGTGCAAACTAGCTGGCGTGGATACTACCGTCATAAAATATGATTAAAAAAAAATTCTCATGTTTCTTTTTATCAATCTCTATGTATTCCACTTATTTGTGTCTATTTAATTCAAAACAATTAGTATAAGAACAGTAGACATCTGTCATGTTCCTCAGTCTGAAATGTGTTCCCATGCAATTTATTTGTCAAAGTTTTGGGATTTTTCCAAGCATATGAGGGAACTTTAGTAAAAAGGGTGTGATCACCGAGCTTTCATCTTGTTAACTAAGTGTAAAGTTTGGACTCAATTGACGGGGATACGTCTTTGTGTGACGAGTGTGAATCTCCTTATCTCCACCAAATTTCCTAGTCGTACTTCCAGAAAATCCATTTCCTGGTTATCCACCTCATATTTGTGTTACAGACAAAAACTTCATACTTAGGGCTTGAGCTCGTGAGTTGTCTGTGTTAGAGTTATTACCTTGTCTAACTCTGTTTTCTATGCAGTGTATTATATGGACTTTAATGTATTCTTTGGTTGTTGAAGTGTCCCCTGCCCTCTTCCTACTCTATTGATTGCTATCCTCTTATTTTGGATGTTGGATTGTAGTAGAAATTGAGGAGGCAACAAATATTGGAAGTTTGATAGTTCACTAAATTTGTAAATAAACCGGAACCTCTTTCAGCATCTTAAAATTCACCATCCATTTGTGGATAAATCTTAAAGTACGTGCATGCATATGCATGTGTGAGTGTGTGTATCTGTAAACTTACTACTAAAGATAGAGAAACATACTGTCAACACTTACTAATTAAAAGAAAGGGTTAAAAGTAGGTCTTCTAGAAACAATAGCATGTTGTAATTTCTCCAGGTTGATGAGCACAGCATTTACGTGTTCTTGGAATGTAACATCAAAGTGTGTCAACAATGGTATATATCATTGCAGTTAGTTAAGCAGACTGCTGTTTGTTATGACTTAAAAGGGATGTCGAGTAGAATGCAAGTCTTGTGTAAAAGGTATGTGATACCATGATGTTTTACTTTTCTGAGCAAATTCTTTTATCTTCTAGGGTGGCTCTGCAGTTTACACATGAGATGCAAAGCAAAGCTCAGAAGAACTATGATGCCAGTCCAGATAGAGCATTACCAGTTTTTGGTGTTGGGGTTGCTTTTATTGATGAAAAAGCCATTTCTGCTGTTTCATCTGATGATCTTGATAGAGCTATTGAGAAGCTGAAACTTATCTTGTCAGATTTGGCTCCACCAGTGAAACAATTCCATGTAGTTCCAACAGAGGCCATTTATTCGCTGAAAGCTGGTGATGCAAAAGATAGACTGAATGAATTAATAAATGCTGTTAGTGATGTCACAGGAAAAGAAGATCTTGTAGAGCATCTTCGCATGCTCTCCCTGCAAAAGGTTTGGCTGCTTTACATAATCACAATCTTGAGCTTTGCAGGAGAGACATAGATCCCTATTTACATATGTTGCTTTACTATGCAGATAGCTCTTGAGCATGGATATACCAAAGTTTTGCTAGGAACGTGTACATCAAGAATAGCTTGTCGTGTACTTGAAGCAACTGTCAAGGTAGGTTCTATGAATCACTCCCTCTCTTCTTCTGCGGAAAAACTGAAAGTGTTAATTCACATGGATGCATGATAAAGAAAGCTTGTCCTCTGGCAAACTGAAAAAGTTTGGAACTTTGGACTTCAATATGACATGATCCAAATGGAAACAATGAAAGGGATGGAGTAAATTATAAGAGAAGAATGGAAGTGTGAAGTGCCTAGATTTGGTCCATCCTCTTCCAGATAGATGAAGAGATTAATACTAAAAAATGTGATTATCCATGATTCATGCAGAATAGGTTTTCTTTTTTAAAAAAAAGTTAAAGCATTGCTTATGAATTTTGATACTTCGAGTTTTTTTTTGATAACTGAGGGCCAGCGGCGCGCGGTTTGGAACTCGGTGGATAATGGACCCGCTCCTCTACCCTTCTCCACTTAAATATAGGTGTTTGTATGAAGTTCTCTTGTATATTCCTCTCAGGTCATCTTTCGTGGATTAACCAAAATGCCCATCACTTTCATTATCTTTTTATTGTGGTTTATTTTATCTGATTTGATCTATATTTTTAATTACTCATTTCAATGATCATAATCCATGTTAGTTGTAGTATAAAAGATCAACTCTAGAGCTAGTAACTATATATCTACACTAATCACCTATCTATAATTTTCAATGTCATCTCTCATATCTTTGGTTACCCACTTGAACAGAAGAGTGATGAACAAAAAGAAAGAGAGAGAACTATCTAATGTGCAAAAAGTTTTGGTTTTTTCCAGGGCAGAGGTTATTCTTTAGCTGCTGATATCCAGTATGTTGATGCAAGGTGGAAGATACCTGTGGTTCTTCCCCTCCGTGATTGTCTTATTCATGAGTTGAATACGCTTTGCAGCCTTGACAGGTTTGTTGCACTTGAAATTCAAAATAAATTTAATTCTTGTTTAGCATTTAGATATCCTATTTTTATCGCAATCTCATGTAATTTCTGAATCTGATTATTTCATTTCTTTTTTCCCTTTCCTTGTGTGTCAAAACCATTACTTCATGGTGGGCCTCAACGTACTTTGCCAGGGCAGTTTAATGACTGTAGAAGTTTTTAACGGAACACATGCTGGTATCAATGGCTTGGTCTCCTCATTTGTAAAATTGTTGCAGGTAAAAGCAGGTTAACTGTATTGGTTTAATTTAAGTTGATGTGGTTTCATGTACAGTGCAAGTGGCATTTTAGGCAAGGAAAAGACTCTAGATATATAAGAAATCAAAAATTGGAATATTGTAATATAACAACGCACGCAATAGCTGAAATATATTTAGCCTGCCGAGACACATGCTTTTAAAACTTAATCTTGGTTCATGGTTAATATTGTAGTAATTGCTGGTTACTTTAACAAGAAGGAAAAATATTAGGGAATAAATTACTTTATTATAGATCTCCTAACTTGTTATTGTGAGAACTGCCTATATTCAGTTATCCTATGTGTTTGTTGTTCTAGTCGTGAATACTGCAACTTCAAAGCCTTCACATGAAAAATTCAAAGTAGCTTTTAATTTCAGGAGGAAAACCCTTCCCGGGAAAGCACAATCATGAGAACAGCTGGAAAGCTGACACCTTTTCATTTCAATAGAATGTCAGAGGACAATAACTATAACGATCAGGTGGCATCTCAAAGGAGGCAAAAGAAATACAACCTGAAAACTAACGATGCCCTTCCTCCCGAGTCATTCTGTCGTATTTGCAGTAGTCCTCTAAAAATATCCACCGTCGGAACTTCAATTAGTGTTGACAATGCGAAAACTAGTCTCAATGCAATAGGGGCTGCATGCTGTGCAAGTTGTCAGTTTCAGGTTCTTCCAGAGGACCCCTCATCTCTGGAGCACTTCATTTCTCTCTTGCCACCATCAATGGTTTCCCAAGCAGAGGATGGTGATCATCTAAGTCAGAGACAGCTAAGGTATGAAATTTCATTTGATGTTCTTATTTCTGACACATTAGCTTGCTTTTGGAAAACCATTATGTAGCTGCAGATGGTTTGAATTCACAGAGGCGGCGTCATGGATCTTTAGAAGGACGATGCCTTTTGAAATTAGCTTCCTTTCACTGTTGTTGCTTAGAGAATATTGTCCTCTATTTTCTTCTCTGGGCTGCCCAGGGTTCAACATTTCAACTTTAGAGATGTTTTTGGAACTAGTTTTTTTAATTTGTATTAATAAAAGCTTTATCTCCGTTTCTAGTCCTAGTTTAAAACTTAGGACACTTATTTTTCAAGTTTAATTGCCTTGTTTTCAGGGAGCAAATAGAAGACTGCTTGCTCTCGGACACCGAAGACTGAGCATGATCCTGCTGATTAGTTTTGCGAAATATCCGACTGCTGCACTGAAACACAAATCACGTTTTGGTCTCAATTAACCTCTATGTCAACTAAAGAATTGTTTGTTACTTGAGCCCGGAGGAGCAGGGAAACATTGAAAGACGTGGGTGTGGGTTTTGAGATTATGCCGAGGTTCCCATTTCTATAAATATCAGTACACCATGTTATGGTAGAGTTGGCCACTCGGCTGATGCCTTGGGTACAGTGTTACAGAAAAATTATCTGCTACCAAATTCTCTTTGGGTTTTCAATCTGTTTTGTAAGTGGTGGTGTATGTCACAGAAAAGTTTATGTTCTTTAGGCCAACTTTTTTAACATTTCATGCCCTTCAGTTTTGGTTTAGCGCCTAAGCTACATTGCAATGTTTCTCAGACACTTTTTACATGTTGGAAGATCACCTGCAAGGTGAAAATGTTAGATAATCCTCTCTTGTCTGTTTCATGTATGAATTCTAAACTAATGAAACACAAATTATACATTACATTTATTAATTCAATACGAGTCGATCCGCTCTTCATAGAACAGAACAGGGGAATTATTACATGGAAGTAGAAATACACGCACTAGATAGAATTAAGGTTGATCTCTCTTGCCAGAAAAGCTTAATAGCTGGGTGTATTTAGATCAACCTAGTAGCAGCCGCAAATTTCACTGGGGCAGCCCATAGTACATGGATCCTGATAAACATTCCCCTGATAGCTCACAGAAGGAAAAGACTTTTCTCTATCGTCATAAGAGCTTATCGTTTCACTCCATTGTTGTGTGTTGGAGGCTGATTCATCCATTGATAGCACGATACGCGATAAAGCTGGGTAACCATGGTAGAATAAAAAAGCAATAATTATCAGAATAATAAGAACAATGGTACTGTTTCTGGCCATTGATAAAAACTTCAAGGTTTGGTGAAACCCTAAGGCATTTGTCAAATGAATAAGGCTATAGCAAGTGACATTATATAATTGCCAGCTAGCTCTTATTGTTTGGTCTCATCATTTACAGACTGTGAATTGAATTTGAAGTTCAACGCTAATCTTTAAAGTCAGTGTTGAAATATATTCTAAACTAAAGTCACGGAGAGGACCGAAGGCTGACATATTCGTGGCCAATCGAGGGAATGAAGATTCTTGACTTGTTCTACATTTCTTTGTCCATAAGAAAAACCAGATTACTTACATGTTACTCACATAGTTGACAAAGTTATAATAAGAAACCGAGTGCATATATAAAAAGGAAGAACTAAGTAGATGATTATCCTCAAAACAATCACAAGCTGGACTTATCGTCCAGAAGATTGTAAACCTTGAGTTGCAACGACAGAACCAATAATCATAAATGAGATTTAACTTATATAACACGGACGCATATACTATTAATGTATGGGATTTTTATCTTCCTATACCACATATGAAACCTTATTACCCTCAATGTTTAAGGTTTGAGTTAATTACATTTCAGCATACCAAATTACCATTTATATACCATAATTAATTTAGAGGTATAATTAATTGGCAGTTTTTTACTCCTTAATTAAAGGTGTCCATATATCCCACGTTTCTCTCTCCCCTTAATTCCCAAGATCTGACCATCACTGTTTTCCCCCTCCCATTTCTTTCTCTTCTCCATTCCTTCTTCTTCTCAAAAAATACAGAGATGAGACCCATTTTTTATAATCAGATTTTTAGCTAAAGAGATTCAATATGAAACCCATTGTAAATCCCATACAATAATAACGCCAAATACTGGCGGTGGCTGTGGCCAACACCAATTTGGTACATATACAACCTTGAAGATTTCATTAAGAAGTAGTCATGGGCCTTTGACAAGGATGAAGATGGAATAAGAAAGGTTGGTTTATTTGTAGTTTTTTTTTGTGAAATTTTATAGATGAAGAGAAAATTTTGTAGTCAACATATTTTTTCAACATAGATTATAGTTTAATTGTAGTATAAATGTAGTAATTTTATAGATACCCTTAAAAACAATACAACTTTATACAATACTTAAACTGATTTGTAGTTTATTTATAGAAATTTTGTAGATAAAGAGAAAATTTTGTAGTCAACATTTTTTTTCCAACATTGATTGTAGTGTAATTGTAGTATAAATGTAGTAATTTTGTAGATACCCTTCAAAACAATACTGCTTTATACATACGTAAACTGATTTGTAGTTTATTTGTAGATTTTTTGTAGAAAATTTGTAGATTAGGAGAAAATTTTGTAGTCAACATTTTTTTTCAACATAGATTGCAGTTTAATTGTAGTATAAATGTAGTAATTTGTAGATACCATTAAAACAATATTGCTTTATACATACTTAAACTGATTTGTAGTTTTTTTGTAGAAAATTTGTTGACTGGAGCTAGAGGAATGGAAAATTTGATTCACTTTTTCTTCTTCATGGGAGACTCCCCGAAATCAGATTCTAATGTATCTTCAGGCGCAACAAATTGCTGGTGAATCTCGGTAATGGATGATTTTGGAGACATGAGTTGACTTACTGGGCGTGGATTAAAAGTTGCAGGGCGAGGACGTGAAAAATGAGGAAAGAGAAGCCTGTAGAAAAAGGAGGAAACAAATCTGATGTGAATATGAAAAAATATTTAGTCCCAAATTTTTAGGCGCCTAATTTGGAAGGAATAAGCTATTCAAATATTTATCCCAGATTTGTAGGCGCCTAATTTGGAAGGAATCAGCTATTAATATTGGGTATTTAATGAATGGTATAAATTTTGTAGGAAAAATATAAACATGGCGGGTAATAATGGAATTATGCACATTTTTAGTAATAAGGTTTCATATATGGTATAGATAAGAAAAAATCCCTTAATGTATTTTAACATATGTTGTAGTAAGGCCAAATACATAGACAACCCATTAAACTTGGCCCAATTTTTTATTTTGGCACTTTAACTCAGCCTTGTTCCATTTTGGCCCTCCAACCCCATTTCTTTTGTTCCACTTTGACACAAAAGCTGACTAGATTCCATGTGTGATTTGCCTCACCCTTGTAGGCGCGTGAGAGCCATTTTTAAGCCAAATTTCATACTTCCAACGTAGATGCAGATCCAGAATTTAAATCCTATGGATTCAATTTTAATGTTTTTAACATTGAACCCATTATATTTTTAAAGTTATGGGTTTATCTATTTCTTTTACAATTTTAATGAATTTTTACATATAATTTTTTACTTTGCGTCGAAAGTTATGGGTTCAGTTAAACCGGTAGTTATTATTGAAAATATATATAAAATATATTTTTTCCACGGGAGGGGGGCAGAAAAAACGAAAAAAATAATAATTTGAAATTAACAAAAAAAATTTTGCGGGGGGTTGGGGAGGCAATAGGGTGGGGATGGGGGTAGCAGCTGGGTATTTGTTCGCGCTGAATTTTTACCTGGGATAAAAGTTTTTGTGTCAAAGTGGAACAAAAGAACCCATTATATTTTTAAATGTTATGGTTTAATATCTATTTTTTTTTTTTTAACAATTTTAATAAAAATTTTTTAAATACAAATTTTTTACTCCGGCGTCGAAAGTTATGGTTCAGTTGAACCTGTAGTTAATACTGAAATATATATAAAAAATATTTTTTCCCCCGGGATGTGGCAAAAATAATAATTTGGAAATTATAAAAAAAAGAAAAAAATTTTTTGCGGGGGGGGGGGGGGGGGGGGGGGGGGGGGGGGGGGGGGGGGGGGGGGGGGGGGGAAAGGTGGGGTGGGGGTGGGGCTTAGCAGCTGAGTATATTGCACGGCGCTGCAATTTTAGCCTGGAGAAAATTTTTTGTGTCAAAGTGGAAAAAGAAATGAGGTTGGAGGGCCAAAATGGAACAAGGCTGAGTTAAAGTGCCAAAATAAAAAATTGGGCCAAATTTAATGGTATGTATATGTATTTGGCCTTGTAGTAAACAACTAATCTATTTTATTATGGTCGATTACCTGCAATTATCTTTTAGTTGACCAGAGTGTGTTAAATTGTTTACACTGTGGCAGCATAAATGTTAAAGCTTGACTATTTATAGCAGTGTTGATTTCTGACATTGTATTATCAGCCACTTAACAGATAACATGGCATTAACAAATCCTTGAATATGATATCAGCCTATCATCTTCTGTTGTCATCAATTAGAAACAATGAATTAAAGTTGAAAATAAACGCTAATTAAAATTCATCTTTGGAGTAAGCTCCTATATTTCAAATGTCGATATTGAAATGCATTACAGATTTCCTCGACATGTATTATTTAAATAGCTGGTATTTATCTTTCATCACCATGAATCTCTCGATGCCTTATTTTATATACTGAATATTAAATTTATTTGCTGCAAGTAGTATGTAATTTTAAGGCAGAAATTGATAGCTATTCCACATTTATCACCTTGAATACCTAAAACGAAGTGGGGGCGGACGTGCATTCACCGAAGCGGTGTTACGTAACATCGCTTGTCGGAAAATTTTACTAAATATATATATATATATATATATATATATATATATATATATATATATATATATATATATATATATATTAGTATTAAAGCACGTGTGAATATTTTAGTTGTATAAGTGAATTGTAGATGATATACAGTATAAATAGGGGTAGATACACTATAGTGTATAATTCAATTTATTGTATTTTTTCTACAATTGTACAAAGGACTTTATTTTTCTTTCTGATGTAATAGAGAAGAAATTTTAGAAGCTTCCCCTCCTATGGCTCTCCTCAACCGCCATTAGAGCTCGCTCAAGGTGAGCTTGTCTTCTTCATCTTCCTTACTATTTTGTCATGGTATGAGAGCTTGGCTCTTGATCCTAAATTCAATTAGTCGTTTCTCCTTTCTATTCGAGCGTAGTCTCTCGACACTCTGTCTACCTGTGCGAACATCGAATTTCCTTTCGATTCTTCAAATCGATCCTCGATAATCATGGTTGACAATGAGAACACGACGGATTCCACGAATCTGGCTCTAGATTCGACCAGTCCGCTGTACATGCATCCCTCTGAGAGTGCTGGCTCTATGCTTGTACCGGCGATTTTTGACGGATCAGTATATAGATCGTGGAGAAGAGGAGTTCTAAGAGCTCTCTCAATGAAGAATAAAGTAGGATTCATAAACGGAAAGTGCAGAAAGCCAGAACCTCAGGATCCTAAGTACGATCAATGGGAACGCTGCGACGATATGGTCACATCGTGGATCCTAAATTCTATTTCGAAGGATTTGGCGGATAGTCTACAGTATGTTAATGATGCTCAGGAACTTTGGAAAGAGCTTGAAGACAGATACGACCAGACAAATGAGGCGAAATTGTATCAATTGCAAAGGGAGATAAATGAATTGAGTCAAGGAACCCTAGATATCACTGGGTACTATACTAAGATGAAGAAACTTTGGGAAGAACTGAACACACTAAATGCACATGCTTAGTGCAAATGCAATTGCACATGTGGTGTTAAAGCGAACATGCAGAAAGCAGAGCAGGATAGAAGGCTGATTCAATTTCTAATGGGGCTAAACAAAGTCTATATTGTGGTTAGGCGGAGCATTTTAATGATGAATCCGTTGCCCTCACCTGCACAAGCTTTTTCAATTCTCATCCAAGAGGAGAAACAAAGAGAGGTCAAACCAAACAATCAATTGGTGATGGAATCCACTGCCCTGAGTATGGCTGTCCAACGGGACGGGACAGGACGAAATTAACGGGACGGGACGGGACGGGACGACATTTAAGCGGGACGGTGGCGGGACGGGACGAAACGGGACGGGACAAACGGGACGAAACGGTCGTCCCATCCCGTCCCGCTAACAAACGGGACGGGACGGGGCGGAAAGGGACGGGACGGGACGGGTTCGTGGGCCTTAAGTGTATTTTTTTTTAATAAAAAAAACGTCTAGTTTTTTGAAAATTACTATGTTTTTAAAGTTTGCAACGACTAGATTTTTGACTTATTTAATAAACTTAAATGTTACTATGTTAAAACGAAAATTAGAAAACTAAGTAAAGAATTTTAAAATATTAAAACAAAAGACTTGTAATGAAATATTCTAGTAAATATAAATTCATAATAGAGTTATAATTTATTTAATATAATTTCAGAGTATTAACTATTAAGTAACTAAGACAATTCATAAAAATAATTCAACGCTTAGAGCCTTTTATTTTATTAATAGAACTTTCAAATCTCAAATACAAATATAATTCTTTTGAAAAGCACCTAATCTACGCAGCCACCTTCTAGGAAGAGTTCTGTTTGAACTAGGCCTCTTAGTAGCCAATTACAAATTATCATACTAATATTTGTAAGCTCCTATATAGCTTCTTTGTAACTTATCAATAATATCTCTCGGACATTCTACTGGAATTGGCAATGTTGATTGATGTTCCATGAGCTCCATGCCGTCATCGCTCCCAGTGGTAAGTATCTCATTGTATTCTTCTTCTTCTTCCCTAGTGGTTAATTTTTCAAAACCAAGATTTCTTCTTTCTGAATTAATCCAATCTCTGAATAATACGGAAATCTCTAGACTGTCCTCCGCTAATGAATGTCTATGATCTCCAATTTGAAATTTTGCCGCGCTAAAAGCACTCTCCGATGCTACTGATGATGCTTGAATAGCCAGGATATCTCGGGCCATAATTAAAAGTGTTGGAAAAGCCTTGTCACGCTCCCTCCACCATGACAAAAGTTGTTCCTTGCCTTCTTCGTCTTTAATATTTTCCAATCCTTGATTAAGATAAGAATCAAGTTCATCATCATTAGAGGAATCAAAACCTGGTATATCATCCATATCTTCCCATAAAACTTATGCTCCAAACTTAGAAGTAGAAGGAGCAGTTTCAGTACCAGTTGTATCCATAGATTTATATTTATCAAACATTGATCTAGCATAAGAATATATGCTAGCTTGACAGTTTTCGAGAGATGGTTGTTCATTTTCTTGAATTTCTAAATTCTCATAAATTTTACGAACAAGTCCCTTTGCACCTCTTAGTTTTAAAGATGGGTTAAGTAGAGTAGAAATTAAATAAACTTCGGGAATATGGAAAAAATACTTTTTAAATTTTAAAATCATTTCTTTAATGGTCGGTGCATAAGTTAGATTTTTTTTATACTTACCAAATACAACAGAAATTCCACAAATATACCATAATAATTGTGTAACAGTAGGATAATATATACCAGAAAATTATTTTGTAGCATAATAAAATTTTTCTAAAAATTTAGTAAGCTCTCTGATCTCATCCCAATCAGAATCAACAATTTGATCAACAGGGTAAGCATTATGCATATTAAATACCTTTTGGATAGGCACCCGATAATCATAAGCAACTGTAGGCATTTCATAAGTAGAATTCCACCTAGTACAAACATCTTTTGGAACTTTTCTAAATGGAAGGCCAGCACTAGCACATTGTTGAGCAAATTCACGAATTCTACTTTGTTTATGAGCACGAAAAATATAGCCACAAGCATGTTGTATTTTAGTACAAGCATAAGAAAATAAATTAAGACCATCTTTTACAACCAAGTTAAAAATATGGCATGTACATTTTCTTCTTCCTCATTTTCTTTATCCTCATTTTCTTCATCCTCAAAAAAAATATCATTGCCAAATTGTCTTTGTAAAGTTTCATGATCTAATTGTGTAACGACCCGACCGGTCGTTTTGAGCCCTAGCGCGCCATTCAGCAGTCTGAGGCTATGAGCAGCTTCATTTCAGGTATTGTGACTTGTACGTGTGGTCGGAATTGAATTTCGGGAAGTCCAGAGTGAATTTAGAAGGAGAATTCTTATTTTGGAATCTTAAAGTTGAAAGAATGAACTAGGATTGGAATTTTGAGTAAACGACCTCGGAATCGGGATCTGAAGGTTCCAGCAGGTTCGTATGATGATTTCGGACTTGGGCGTATGCCCGGTTCGGGTTTTGGATAACCCGGAAGCGTTTTGGCGCCTATTGTGGAAGTTAGCATTTTAGAAGAAATTTCATAAGTTTGGCTTGAAGAGAATTTCAGTGTTATCGATGTCTGTTTGGGATTCCGAGACTGTGAATAGCTCCGTATGGTGATTCTGGAGTTGGGGGCGCGATCGAAAGTGAATTCGGAGGTCCGTAGGTCATTTTGGAGCCATTTGGCTAAAGATAGAAATTTGAAGGTTTTTGAGAAGTTTGACCGGAAGTGGACTTTTTGATATCGGGGTCGGAATCCGATTCTGGAAGTTGGAGTAGGTCCGTAATGTCAAATATGACTTGTGTGCAAAATTTGAGGTCAATCGGGCATGATTTGATAGGTCTAAACATCAGATATAGATGTTTGAAGTTCTAAAGTTCATAAAGCTTGAATCGGGGTGTAATTCATGATTTTAGCGTTGTTTGATGTGATTTGAGGCCTCGAGCAAGTCCGTAACGTGTTTTGGGATTGGCTGGTAGGTTTGGTTGAGGTCCCGGGGGCCTCGGGTGGATTCCGGATGGTTACCGGATCGAGTCCGGAGTTTGAAGAAGGGGATGGGGCTGCTGCTTCTGGTATTTCCACTTCTGCGGATTTGGGACCGCAGAAGCGGCCCCGCAAAAGCGAAGAAGAAGCCGTAGAAGCGACTAGAGGTGGAGCAGCCCAGGACCGTAGAAGCGGCCCAAGATCCGCAAAAGCGGAACGCATATGCGGTGGGCCGTCCGCAGAAGAGGAAATTGGGCTGGAGCCCAGGACCGCAGAAGCGGCATTTTTGATCGCAAAAGCGGAACCGCATAGGCGGAAATAATTCCATAGAAGCGAAAATGACTGGGGCAGTGAGGTTTTTAAAATTCGGGGTTGGGTTCATTTCAACCCCATTTTTCTTCCATTGGAGTCGATGGGGAGCAGCTTTGAGGCGCCATTTTCGTCACTTGTTATGAGGTAAGTAATTTATGCTAGCTTTGAGTTAAATACAAGGTTTATACATGGATTTGAGCACGAAAATTGTAGAAAAACTTGGGGTTTGAGGGAAGACCTAGAAAATTAGTGTTCTTGAATTTTGACCACGATTTGGAGTATGGAAGTAAGGGAAAATCATATATTTGAGTTTGCGAGTTCATGGGTAAGCTTTATCTTCGAGAAATTTCGGATTTCGGGCACGTGGGCCCAAGCGCATTTTTGTCAACTTTTCGTTCGGGGTTAGGAATTGTTACAAATTGGGTTGTAAAGTTTAATTGAGCATATATTAATGGATTTGTATAATTATTGGCTAGTTTTGGAGCTTTGTGCGTTGGTGCAAGTCTTCGGAGGAATGTAGAATGCCGGTTATGAGTCTTCGGAGCGAGGTGAGTCTCCTTTCTAATCTTGTAAGAGGGAATTGTCCCCCTAGGTGAAATAATTGATTATGTGCTCCTATATGTGGGGGCTACGTACGCACGAGGTGACGAGAGTCCGTGCGTAGCTACTATTATGCTATTGTCTGGGTAGATAGGACCCAAAAGCATGTTATACTTGGATTAATGTTGAACCTATGGATAGCCTGAATTGCTTAAATAAAATTGAATTAGTAAGTAAATTTCTAGAAGGACTAAACTTCATTTCTTAAAGGTTGTTAAAGGAGAATTTGTATTATTTGGATAATTATTCCTCGATAAATTCTTAATTGGTTACTTGAGCATGTATTTTATGTGTATCTGCGTCGCATGCATGATTCGCGAGCAGGGTATGTGTTTATTTATGGAACGGGCCGAACGCCTCGGCAGATTTAAATAGATGCATCTATGGTTCGGGCCGTTCGACCTTCGGCAGTGCACAGTTTACATTCCTGTTGGATCGGGCCGTCGCCTCGGTGTGATTTGCGCATGTTATTTGTCGCTTGAGGACTTTTAAACGTGAAATTTACCCTTCGTTGCTTGATATAAACTGATAAGATAATAAAGAATAAACCTTGAAAGCCCTTGATTATTTATTAAAGGTGTTTTACCTGTTTTCTGGCTTCGCGAATTAAAACTACTATATAAATCCATGATTTTCCTCACATTTCTAGAATATTGTTATTGACCTCTAGTGAGTGTCGAAGTTGGCCATCTCGTCTCTACTTCTTCGAGATTAGGCGGGATACTCATTGAGTACACGTTGATTACGTACTCATACTACACTTCTGTGCATTTTTGTTGCACAGGTATATATACCTCTAGCAGCCTACTGGGCGTAGCAGCGCGGATGATTTTGGGACTAGGTGAGCTGCATTGTTCGAGGCGACCCGCAGCTAGTGTAGCTCCTTTCAGCTTATGGTATTTAATTCCTGTCCACTGTATTACGGATGGATATTGTATTTTATTTCCTTATCAGTAGATGCTCATGCACTTGTGACACCGGGTTCTGGGATGTTTTTTCAGAGATGTGTACTAATAGTTATTACTTAATTCGAATTGAAGTAGAAATTGTTTTTAATTATGAAAAATGGAAGGAAGAATCCTAG